ATTAGGATATAGGTATTAGATATTTTTTCTAATGAGGTCTCCTTATGGACCAGGCTAGCCTCAAACTCCCAGCCCTGCTGTATAGGTCAGTCAAGTGCTGGAATTTTATTCATTTGACTCCAAGCTTGGTTCAGCAGAAATTGATCAAGTGTATTATAATCCTGCACTAAAATGATATAGATAAGTAATTGTCAATCATTATACTATGTCAGTTATAAATTTGAAGTTCTTTAAGAAGAAAATAAATATATTTGCAGTGAGCATGTAGAAGGTTATGCTAAGGAATGGTAGACATATTGAGTGAAAGGAGAGACCATGTCTAGCCCTCTGCTCTGCTTTGTACTCCCCAGATGGAGGTGCTGAGCAAGACCCTTCCTTCTTCGTCGCTCCCTGCTGTGCTGTGTGCCTGCAAAGTGAGTAACAGCCACCACACTTATTTTCCTTGCTTAAGTGTTTAAAAGTAGCTATGCATTATGTTAATTATTTTCTTTAGAAGAAGTAGACAATGAAGTAACCATGCACTGATGGTTTTAACAGTAGATGGGGGAGGGGGATAGAAGAGCAATGGAGCAACTCAATACTGCCTTTGTTTTCTCTGATTTTGTCTGAAACCAAGCAGATAGTTATGATATCAAGTGATATCTTGATACATGCTTACCTAGTATAATTTTTCAGGAAGGTTAAGCATATCCATACTCCTCCTCAAAATAATCTCCTCATTATCCTGAAATTCTGCTGTCTTCTTTTCTATTCCTTTAAGATATTAAGAAACTATGAACAAGACTTTCTCCACAGTATATAACAGCCCAGGGTTTCTGAAGGTCATTGAACTATAACAGCCACTTTTCTCCGTTCTCCTCTCCCGCTAACCCATCTGGTAACCATCACTCCCCTCTCAGCTCCCAGTAGATGAACTCTTTCACGTCCCACAAGAACGAGACCATATTGTGTTTGTCTTTCTGTGCTTAGTCTATCTTCTTCACCGTGATCCTCTCTAGGGCCATCCATATCACTAAAAATTACAGCGTGTCATTCTCCTTTCTGGCTGAAAGTACCAAACATGAAACTCATATCCAGGGTAAATAAGGAGCCTACAACAAAAGAGCAAAAGAACAGAAAACAGTAAATAATTTTTAATAGACAGAAGTATGCATGTCTCAGTGAAGCCGTCTATGAAAGCGTGCTCATCATGATCAACCACCAGAGAAATGCAAATCAGATGCACAGCAAGACCCCCTCACTCCAGGAAGGGCGCTGTTGTCAGGAAAGTTCAGCAATGATAAGTAAAGGGGTAGATAGAGGCTTTCCTGTGCACGCTGTTGATGGGAATGGGAATTACTAGAGCATCATAGAAAACAACATGGACATTCCTCAAAAACAAAACGAAAATTCAAAAGCAACAACAAACCCATAGAATTGCCTTATAATCCAACCACCTTGTGTGTCCGGATGAAAAGGAAATGACGCGTTTGTGACAGAGACACCGGCTCTCTCATGGTCCCTGTGCTACTGTCTATGGGTGCCAATAGGGGATAGATGTGAGTAGCCATTAGCTGATGAGTGGATAGAGGAATGTGACAGATAGCATGGGACACTGCTCATCCAAATAAAAGTTAGCTGAAGCCTAATGAGAGATTGATGTCGGTTGCTGTGTTTCCTGATTGATCACTGCCACACTGAGGCCAATTAACAAAAGATAAAATCTCAAGTGGATAGGATTCCACAGACAGATGTTAAGCTGTCAAACGTCATGTTCATTTTTGCGGATCAGGATATTTTATTGATTTGCTCTAATTAATAAGTTAGAATATAGTAAATTCAAATAAAAGATAGGTTAAAGTATGAACCAATGATGGCAGCGGGTGTTGAGAGTGAGCCTCACATACTGCATGAAACATATCTGTACTCTAATAGCTAACAAAAGTGTAGGATAGTCTTTTTCTTGGTAGAAGATGTCCTCTAGACCAGTGGTTCTCATCCCATGGGTCATCAATCCTTTGGGGATTGAATGACCCTATCACAGGGACTGCATGTCTGATATGCCTGTGAGATGTCTTCACAAAGTAGTTCTCACCATATAGGTTGCAACACCCTTTGGGAGTGCATATCAGATATTTACATATGATTATGTATTCATAACAGTAACAAAATTAGAGTTCTAAAGTAACAGTGAAAATAATTTCGTGGTTGGGAGCCACCAGAACAAGAGGAACTGAATCAAAGGACTGCAGCGTTAGGAAGTTTGAGAACCACTCAAGTAGACATAGTTAGAAATTTTTAAGGCCCCTAAGGCTGGCACCTATGTTGGTAATTGTTGCTTGTGTCATTAGAATTAAGCAATGGAACTACAATTCAATCAATTACTGATGTATTAGTCAAATATAAACCTGAAGTACGTCAGAGACACTTTGAAAACAGTAAAGCGCAGCAGGCAGTGAGTTTACTCCTGTACTTTCATCCTCAGCTACCGTAGGCATCAGATCTTCTTACATGCTGGCCTCAAATTTAAAAAGAAAAAGCTTTGGGCAAAGCAAAACAGTTAGCTACACTGTTGTTATTATTATGTACCATATACATGGGTATAATTTGCATTCCAAAACCTATAAATTGACAGGTAAATAGTAATTGATACAAAGCTCAAAATTTTTATCTTTATCTAATATAAAACAATCAGATAAATAGGAATGAGTAGAGTGGACTCTGAGTGGCCTGATGGATGACAACTGTCAGCATCTGCGCGTCAGATGACAGGGCTAGGTGTCTGGCGATCAGAGATGCCTCACACGGAGAAGTAAATAATCAAAGCTAGGAAAGGGTGTTTCTCATTTCTGCCTCTTTTCATCGATCGGTTACGCTCCCTAGAGTGGGCATTCCTATGGGGATCACACTATGTTCCATGGTCACCAGCTAACCAATTGCCTGTGTTAGAGCATAGAGCCAACGCGAGTGCTAGATGGTCATGTTGGCATGATTTAGGTGGTCTGCGAAGGTTGTTTACTGCACTGTTTAGCAGTGAGAACTTTGGGGCAGTGAGATGCCGCAACACAAAAGCCTGGTGTCCTTAGCTGGATACTTAAAACCCTAAAGATCTCCTGCTGTTTCCGCGGCTCTCCTTCCCAACACAGATAAATAAGTATATAAACAATTACGTGAAATATGATTTCATTAGGTCGATTGTGATTGATGAAACAAATTAAATTGTCATGAATTAGAACACTGAATTGGACGTGCCTGTAAGACCATTGCTCGTCACAGAAGGAAAATTAGTGTGAGTTCTTTCTTGGCACAGGAGGACGTTCTTTCCTCGTTCAGTGTTTGGGAAGTATAATAGAGATTTCCATTGTAATTAATGAATAAAGTATTAAATAAACAGTCAATATTAAATGAGTTGGTACGCGTCCAAGATGATACTCACGTATCAGTCTCAAAGGTCCATCTGGCGGCAGGTGTGCGCTCCATGTCACCTATTTCATGTTTTAATCTAATTCCTTGTATCTTGAATATCAGTCAGACAATAAAAATAGAAAAGCATAAAAAAGAAGGAAGATTACTCTAATTATAAATATAAAGAACCAGACAAAAACACCCTACTGTATACCAACATATTTCAAAAAGAAGCAAGGGTCATGGGAATCATTACTTTGTGTAAAGATAGGCTAGAGAAAATTATAGATAATGTCTATCTTCTTGCTTAGTTGGAAGTAGGTCATTTTGTAAAAGATAATATAAATAATTTCTAAATAATGATATAATACACAAATTGTTCAATGTAAGAAAACATCAAAGAGAAATGGAGGGGTGCATTAATGCAGTCTATACACCCTAAGAAATGCTTTCAAATGACTCACAGGCTTGTCCATGCACAGCAGCCGGGAGTGACAGTGTTGTGAAAAGCTGAGGGTAGAAAAGAATGCAGGCTTTTCTTGGTGGAGCTTACCACCTGTGTAAGTGTCGTGGAATTATAGGCTTCCTATCAAGTCACTCTTACTATGATACTGGGAGAAGGGAAATATGCTGTCTGTAAAGGCACACTATCTACAATATAGAAAAGATGGCATCTCTGATGCATTAAGTCTCTTCAGTTTGGAGATTAATTGACTTACCTTTTATTATTTTGGTACTATATGAGTTTGTCGTAGAAATAATCAATAATTCAATATAGATGGGAAGGAGAAGGGACTGACTATGAAAGTATTGATATATTATGATGGCATTTGATTGATGATTGATGAATAAAGAGGAAAAAGAAATAAAAGTGCAGAGAATATGGCAGCATACACTGTCAAGTGACAGATACAGCTATGCAGAAAACCCAGCACTTGTTAATCTTTGGTTCAGGCACTTGACATGATCTAAAGTTAACGAGACAGGTAGACAAAATTAAATTAACTGAATGGAAGGAGGTAGCTAAAATGATATTACAAAAGTACGTGAAGAGTGGAAAAATGGAAAAACAGATTATGCCAAGGAGCCGGGTGTGGAAAGAGTAAATCATAACTATCATAAGGTAGTGAAAAAAATGAATAACCATGAATTTAACTCAGTCTCTGTTTAAGGAAATTCTGGGCTAAAGGAAAGGCAAAAAAAACCTTGAAAAAAGCAAATTTAAATAAAAAAGAGGAGGGGTATTAAGAAGGGAAATTTCCATATTTAAATTGGATTCTCTAACTTATTCTATACAGATATGTTATAATGGCAGACACATTACAAGGATGTTAAGAATTAAAAAAAAAGAGAGAGACATCAGTCCAGAGCCCACGGTAGCTGACAACTACAGCATCCATCCTCCTGGCAAAACATAAGAAGAGGTAAGGAGAGACTCCTTAAAATCTTCATGGTGAGGCAGGGTATGGAAAATAGAAGTGAGCTCACTGCTTGCTGGAAGAGCAGATGGTGAGATCTCCCAGTGCAGAGTAGGTTCCTCTAGTGTGGCCTCCCGAGCTGCCACACTGACGACTGAGCGAGTCAATCCAGATGGCTCCAGAAACAGCAGCCAACCAGCGACCAATGATGAGATCTGATGGCGTCTGAGTGTTTCTCAATGACAGCCACGTGAACAGATACTGAGGTCAGGCACAGAGCAATCTACCGTGGCCCGCCTTTCCTTTTACCCTAGTTACTGGTCTGAGAGGAAAGAGCAGGACCAGAACTGGAATTAGTTCCTAGGTAGTTGACCAAGGGAACATGGATGGTCCTAGGCAAGATTAGAACAAAGTCCCCATGAAAGTGGAGTTTCCTGAGTGGAGAAAATCATGGCCATGTGTCTCCACAGGCCTTGTGAAAGGTGCAGGAGATGAGGTGCTGTCTTGATGCAGGGACAAGACCCTTTACTTAGAAGAATACCAGTCATTTTCTCTTGGAAATAGCCAGATATTCGTGTTCCCTGTGAAGAGATCTAAGAGGTGCAGCCTAGGAACACAAGAGGGCATTGAGCAATGGCCAACATACTCATCATGTCTCTCTATCATCTGCTCTGTACCCTTCAGAAAGGCTGACCCGACTGATGGTACCAGCATGTTGAGATGGAGACCCCACTCAAACCACTATGGTACTGTGAGAGTCTAGAGCCCTGAAGAATGAGAGGAAACTCTCTGACTATCATTGGGTCAAGATTAGAGGTATGTGTAGTTGCATTAATGAGTTTTATAATTCGAAATCCAGAAACTCATGACAAAGACAGGCTTTGATGGGAACCTGTTAGGAAAACCACCCAGAAACGCATCCAATTCTGTGATCACTGTGTTCTACAGAGCACCTAAGAAATCCAGCCCTGCAGGAGGTCAGGGAGAGAGGGGGCCCATCTACGACCGATGATGAGATCTGGTGGCGTTGGAGTGATACTCGATGAACGCCAAGTATCCAGAATTCTGAGGTCAATCCTGATGCCCGCTTTAAAGTGCTAAGCTGTGGATGGAGGCCCAGAGGCTGATGCCCAACACTTACAGACCTGTGGATTGTGGCTGGATAGTTATATGAAAATAGCACTTAGAATCAATAGTCATGCAGCCTTTGGCCTGCCTTGTATTTTTGTCAGCCTGAGGTTGACCATCTTATTTAATATGTGGGATAAGAGGCCGTATTCCTTGGAGAAAAAAACTTATATGCAATACCCTTTGAATGGTAGATATTGTAAGCCTAAAGGAAGAGAAAGTCTCAATATTTGTATTCCCTTCTCTGCCTTGTACCCTCCAGAGAAGCAACAAAGTGATGTCAGAGGTTGGCCATGATGGTGATATACCGGGATGCCATGATGTCGGTACAGAAGCCCCTGGCGACTGAGAGCAGCTTCATTGAACCTCTCATTGGCACCAGATGACAGGTAGGAATGGTAACATTAACAGTCTTATGGCAGGCAGGACACAGAAAATAGCAGTGAACTCACTGCTGGCTTTAAGGGCAGGTGATGAGGTCTCCCAGTGCAGAGTAGGTTCCTCTAGTGTGGCCTCCCGAGTTGCCACACTGGGCATTGAGTGAGCCAATCCTGATGGCTCCAGACAGAGTGGACAACCAAGGACCAATGATGAGATCTGGTGGCGTCTGAGTGTTTCTCAATGACAGCCACGTGAACAGATATCTGAGGTCAGCCACAGAGTAATCTACCTTGGCCCAACTTTGCTACTACCCAAGTTACTATTCTGGGATGAATAAACAGGACAAGACCTGAAATCATTTCCTAGGTACTTGACCAATGGAACATGGTTGGGTGCTAGGCAAGATTAGAAAAATTCCCTGGGAAAGAGGAATTTCCTGATTGGAGAAAATCATGGCCATGTGTCTCCACAGGCCTTGTGAAAAGTGCAGGAGATGAGGTACTGTCTTGATGCAGGACAGGACACTTTACTTGGAAGTGTACCAGTGATTTTCATTGGAAATGCAAGAAATCAGTGTTCCCTTTGAAGAGACCTAAGAGGTGCAGCCTAGGAACACAAGAGGGCATTGAGCAATGGCCAACATACTCATCATGTCTCTCCATCCTTTGCTCTGTACCCTTCAGAAAGGCTGACCCGACTGATGGTACCAGCATGTTAAGATGGAGACCCCACTCAATCCACTGTGGTACTGTGGGAGACTAGAGCCCTGAAGAAGGAGATGAAACCGTCTGACTATCATTGCATCATGATTAGAGGTATGTGCATTTGCGTTAATGAGTTTTATAATTCTAGATCCAGAAATTAATCATTAAGAGTTGGTTTGATGGAAACTTGTTAACAAAAAACACACAGAAATGTATCCAATTCTGTGAGAACTGCGTTCTACAGAGGACTTAATTAATCCAGCTCTGCAGGAGGTCAGGGCGAGAGGGGGCCCATCCACGACCGATGATGAGATCTGGTGGCGTTGGAGTGATACTCGATGAACGCCAAGTATCCAGAAATCTGAGGTCAATCCCGATGCCTGCTTTAATGTGCTAAGCTGTGGATGGAGGCCCATAGACACATGCCCGTCCCTTGTGGACTGTGGATTGTGGGCTGGATAGCTATGTGAAAATACTACTTAGAATCAATAGTCATGCAGCCTTCGGTCTGCCTTGTATTTTTGTCACCCCGAGGTTGACATCCACTTTAATATGTGATTTGTAAGCCCAGATCCCTAGAGAGAATTCTTGAATGCAGCTCCCCTTGAAAGGTAGATTGTGGAACTCCAGGAAGAGAAAGTCTCAATATTTCTCTTCCTTTCTCTGCCCTGTCCCTTCCAGAGAGGCAACCAAACTGCCAGCAGCAATTGGCCAGGATCGTGATTTCCTGGGATGACAAGCCCATGATAGCAGACAACAACTGTGTTGATCCTCCTGTTGGCACCTGGTGACAGGTAGGAACGGTCATGTTCAGAGCCTTATAGCACACAGGGTCTGGAAAATAACAGTGAACTTACAACTAGCTTTAAGGACAGGTGGTGAGGTCTCCTAGTACAGAGTAGGTTCTTCTAGTGTGGCCTCCCGAGCTGCCACACTGAGCTGTGAGTGAGCCAATCCCGATGGCTCCAGACAGAGCGCCCAACCAGGGACCGATGATGAGATCTGGTGGCGTCTGAGTGTTTCTCTATGACAGCCATGTGAACAGATATCTGAGGTCAGGCACAGAGCAATCTCTCTTCGTCCGCCTTTGGTGCTCCCAGAGTTACTTGTCTGAGAAGAGACAGCAAGGTTAATTTGAAATCAGGTTTAAGTCTGTTACCCAAGGGGATATGACTGGCAGCTATGGTGGTATGCAAGAAAATTGGTGGGTCATTATGGATTCCTGAGTGAAGAAAATCTTGTCTAAGAATATCCATAGCCTCCTGAAAGGAAGGAGTGACATGAGGTGCTGTCCAATGTAGGATAGCACGACTTACTTGGAAAAGTGCCAGTCATTTCTTCTTGGAAATGGCAAGAAATTAGTGTCCCTGTGACGAGACCACAGAGGTGCAACCTAGGTAAAGAAGAGGGCATTGAGTAATGGCCAACATTCTCATCTTGGTCTCTCGATTCTTTGCTCTTTACCCTTCAGACAAGCCAACACGTCTGATGGTGCCAGCATGCTGAGATGGGAACCCATTTAAATCACTGTTGTCCTGTGGTAGCCCAGAGCACTGAAGACCAAGAGGCAACCGTCTGACCTTCATTTTGACCAAAGTAGAGGTGTGTGCATTACTATAGGTGTTTTTACATTAGCAGAGTCCTGAAAGTAGTGTGTCCCATTATGTGATCACTGCTTTCCTCAGAGTACCTAAATAATCCAGCCCTGCAGGAGGTCAGGGAGAGAGGGGGCCCATCCACGACCGATGATGAGATCTGGTGGCGTTGGAGTGATACTCGATGAACGCCAAGTATCCAGAAATCTGAGGTCAATCCCGATGCCCGCTTTAACGTGCTAAGCTGTGGATGGAGGCCCATAGACACATGCCTGTCCCTTGTGGACTGTGGATTGTGGGCTGGATAGCTATGCGAAAATACTACATAGAGTCAAGATTCATGCAGACTCTTGTCTGCCTTGTATTTTTGTCAGCCTGAAGTTGACCATCTACATTAATAAGCGGGATGATAAGCCCAATTCCTTAGAGAGAATGCTTGTATGCAACCCCACTTTAAATATAGGTATTGCAGTCCCCAGGAAGAGAAAGTCTCAATATTTCTATTCCTTTCTCTGCCTTGTCCCCTCCAGAGAGGCAACAGACGTGATGCTAGACGTTGGCCATGATGGTGATTTCCTGGGATGCCATGGTGTCAGTACAGACACCATGTTCGTAGATGGCAACAGCATTGGTCCTCCCATTGGCACCTGATGACAGGTAGGAACGGTAACGTTAATAGCCACATGGCAGGCAAGTTAGGGAAAATAACAGTGAATCACTGCTCCTTTAAGAGCAAGTAGAGGACTCCTAATGCAGCGTAAGTTCCTGTAGAGTGTCCTCCCTAACTGCTACACTGAGCAGTGAGTGAGCCAAACCCGATGGCTCCAGCCACAGTGGCCAACCAAGGTCCAATGATGAGATCTGGTGGCGTCTGAGTGTTTCTCAATGACAGCCATGTGAACAGATATCTGAGGTCAGGCACAGAGCAATCTACCTTGGCTCAACTTTGCTTCTACCCAAGTAACTATTCTGGGACAAACGAACAGGACCCATCCTTGAATCAGTTTCAAGGCAGCTGACCTAGAAAATGTGGTTAAGTACTGGGCAATTTTAAAACAAAGTCCCTGGGAATGTGTAATTTCCCAAGTTGAAATATCATGGCCATGTGTCTTCACAGGCCTTGTGAAAGGTGCAGGAGATGAGGTGCTCTCTTGATGCAGAACAGAACACTTTACTTGGAAGAGTACCAGTCATTTTCTCTTGAAATGGCAAGAAATCAGTGTTCCCTGTGAAGAGACCTAAGAGGTGAAGCCTAGGAACACAAGAGGGCTTTGATTAATGGCCAACATTCTCATCATGTCTCTCCATCATCTGCTCTGTACCCTTCAGAAATGCTAACCCGACTGATGGTCCCAGAATGTTGAGATGGAGACCCCACTAAATCCACTGTGGTACTGTGAGAACATAGAGCCCGGAAAATGAGAGGAAATCGTCTGACTGTCATAGGTTCAAGATAGGAGGTAT